GCTGGTGAAAATGTTCAGAAAATCGCTGTCAAAAGTGGCGTCCATACTGAAAACAACCGATTTTTCCGAATGTTCGAGTTTAAAAAAACAGTCTTTAAACTTCCTTATATTCCTCAGTCTAAGGCTTAAAGTGTTGATACATCATTGCTTTCTAAAATGCCGCGCGTGAAAGTTAAGATTATAACTTCTGAAAAACAGAAAAGACCGGTTTACTAGCCCTACTTGACCAATTTGGGCCCTTTCTCTTCTAATTCTGGGCTATTCAAAGCGCACTCGCATTCAAATTTGCCGCCTCGATGACTATGAAAAATTAATGATGTCCGGGCATTCTGCGCGATGATAATGCCGATCAAATGTGCATTTTTTAGGTATAATCTTAGCAGCAAGACGCTTACGTTTCCTATTTCTTACATGATTTTACTGTAAAACCCATGTGTGTCATGTACCATCTGTTATAAATGACCTATGATCTCAAATTTACGTTTCTCTGAGAACGCGCCAGCATACGATAGCTGCTCAGAATGAGGTCGTTACAAAGCAGGGTCGGCCAGGGTTTTTGGGTATACGGTATACAGGGGCTTTTTAAATTGGGTATACGGTATATCGCAGCTTAAATACGGGTTTTCGTTAAATTTCAGGTATAAAGTATACCTGGGTGTAATTTTGGGTATATTTGGATGAATTTTCGGGTATACTGGTATACCGCTACCCCCCCTGGCCGACCCAGACAAAGGCAATTACAAGTTTTTACTGAGATGATTCAGAGACGGTTTTCTTAGTCTTCTCACGATCTACCCCCCAATGTTATACCTGCCAGCTTTTTCTGAGTCAAATGCGTGAGATTTTCACCTTGTTATGACCGATATTTCCGGAAACGTCCCGGCGGCTTCCGAAGATTTCCGACGAATTACCGAAGACTTCCGAACGTTGCTGAAAATCAAATGTCCGCAGATGTTCTAGAAGACGTTTGAGCACTTTCGAAGCTACTTAAAAGACGACACTTTTAGCGCGCCTTGACATGATTTCGTTAGAACACAAAAAAAGGACACAAAGTCATCATGTGTTAAGAATAATTTGTTCGGATTTGTGAGTCAGGCGTGAGAAACTGTCCTTGATACGTGACATCGATGTCTTTAGTCCACAGGCGTAAGACTCACGCATAACGCGTATACAATATTCTGAAGGTATAATTTTGATTAGCTTAATGGTTTACAATGTTGGACTCTGGCCAGTGAAAACGTTCGAGTGGAGGAGACTAACACAAGACTTGAGAAAAGGAGGGCCAGTTGAAATACTTACAATAGCAAAACTGATAAAAAGTAAGGTACTATGGCATCAGTTTTCGAATTTAAAGTTTCATTTACATTATATGTGCCTTTTACGCCAAATTTCGCAACAAAAATATACAAATAAGCTTCGTAGTTAATCATTAATAACCATTTAACTGGCAACTGACAAAAAGCCTAAAATTTAACTGACAGCTGACAAAGGGCCGAAATTTTAACTGACAACTGACATTTGTACTCCCCCATCCAGACCCTCTCGATGGTGTTTCCTTGAAAGTGTAATGGAATATCACTTACTGTACTGTTATGTATTAAAGGCATAGTTTGATATTTACTGAAGTTTCCTTTTTGAAAATTGCAAGCATACAAACCAGAGGTATTATTATTGGCATTTCTTATTAGATTGTTGTTAGCTGTTTCTAGGTCCCCCGCTATTTCATACATTGGATGGTCATCCGCGATCAAGAGATCAATTAATTACATAAAGTCTCAGTGGAACTTTTTGGCGTTACAATTGATAAAGATCTTACGTTTAAGCAACATGTGTCCTCTATATGTAAAAAGTTAAAAAATCAGTTAAGCGTTATGACAAGGTTTGGCAAACTGATGTCTACTGAAACCATGCTCCGTTTTTATAAGGCATTTATACTTCGTCACTTTCATTATTGTTCTATCTTCTATGGTGTGGCATTTCTCTGGTAAACAAGATTCTGACAATTGGACCTTTTAAACAAACGTATTCTTCGATTTATTTTCAAGGATTTTAACTCTGAGTACAATAATTTACTTAAAAAGGCAGGAACTGCTAACCTTAAGGACAAGCGTTTACAAAACATGATTCTTACTATTTTTAAATGTGTTCATTTTTCTGATTATGCAAGATATTTAAAAGATATATGTTTGTCTTACGCACTAGTACCTATTTTTTACGAGGACATAACATGCTCTGTTTGCCCAAACCATTGATCACTTCTTATGGTATCAATTCCTTTAGTTACTTGGCAGCAACATCTTGGAATTCTCTTCCTGACCACTACCGCACTATTTCTGATTTTACGTCTTTTCGACGACTGATATCTACTGGGAACAATAATTTACTTAAAAGGGCAGGAACTGCAAACCTTTCTACATCAAGCATTAAGATAATTTGCAAGTTGGTTGTCTAGGTAGTTAGTTATCTTATTTGTTATATAGAATTAACTTTTTATTATAATTTATTTATTAATGTAGTTGGCTCGAAGATATTAGCACTTGAGTGCTACACTGTAAATTCGAGGGTAAATAAAGTTTATTGATTGATTGATTGAATTACATGTGTCAAATCGTCTTGGAAGATGTTACATTTGATAATGGACCTACAATAGGGCCGATCTCTGAGGACAGCCTCTCTTAGTCCGCTTCCACTCGCTTCTCTAGTAATTAAGCTTCCAGTTTCACTCGATTTAGTCGATCACACAGATAGGATCTTATAAGGTTAAGTAATTCCTCTTGAAATCGATACGCTCTTAATTTGCTGAGTAAAGAGTAAGTTTCATGTTATGTTTCTTTCCATCAGTACTCGATGGAAAGAAAGTCGACTAAACGGCATTTAAACCAGCCGTAGGACACAGAGTGGCTATGAACTAAAGGTAAAGGAGCTTTTTGAATCAATATTTCGCGTGATCATGATTTTTTTTTCCTTAGCGTTGTAGATTCGAATACATGTGATAAAATTCGATCAATAAGGGCCCGAATCACATGTAAAAATGCAAGAAATATCGATTTTCGTTATCTTAAAGGCTACTAGTACCGATAGACAAACAAGAAGACTTCATATCTTTAAGACTTTTTGCATTTATTTGGCATCAGATAATACACTAATAATGCTAGTATATTCCGACCAAATGACCTCTGAAGCCCGAACCCACAAATAGTGCGCTTGGGCTGCCTGTGGTAAAAGCCTCCATAACCTTCACGGCAATGTACACGTAAGCGAAATTGGTCTTAGATCACTTTCAATGGCCCTAGGAGGGATCACCTTAGGGAGGGGACTAACAATTGATGATTTGAGGAGAGATGGAATATACCTCTCCCTTAACGACTGCTTATAAATATCCCGGATTATAAGAGCCAACTCGGGTTCAAAGTTCTTAAAAGCCTTTTGGGAATGTTGCCAGCAGGACCTACCGCCTTAGACACTAGGAGCGAAGACAGAGATCTGCAGGTCTCATTATCGGAAATGAGAAATTTATATGGTACAGACAACGGCTGCATTCCTTGATGCAGGAGTGGCAGATGTTCTGTAAGGTTAACGAAGAAGTCAATCTGAAAATAAACTATAGCAACCGCTCTCTACTTGGCTTATGCTCGCAACCCATAACTCTTTTGCTAAAAGCAAAGAATTAGACCAGATTGTTTGAGGGGGAAGGGGTAAGAGATGAAGTAATCCAAATATGGAGAGCAGGTCACTTTTCTCGACACATTGGTGTAATAATCCAAGTAATTCCCGAGGTAGTGAGAGGTGATAATCCTCTCCAGGAGTGATAATTTCCCAGGGTAGTGAGAAGTGACAATGGCTCAGTCAATTAAAAACGTGACCATCCCCACGCGCATTTATCGGGTATTTGTCATTTTTCTTTGGAAAAGCTGCAAAAGCCCCACGGTGAGGCTGGGCTGTTTATACAAGAACCCCTTTTAATCAACCTCCTCAATCACAGAGTGAATATCATGCTTCGCGAAAGAGTTTTTAACTTTACGGCGTCCCTTGTAGGTAACGTGACAGTCAATCGCACCGTCACGCAGACTTTCTCCACGTTTGTTTCTGCCACGTGGATCAGGGAAAGGATCTCCTTTCACAGCGCTACAGAAAAACGAAGCGAATTCAATTAATAAACCCGGAAAATTTACTTCTCATGATCTTAGCTCATTTGTTGGTTGTTTTTTTGCTTTGTTCTTGGGTACTCACATATGGTTACTTATCAGTCTTTATTCTGTGAGTAATCGGCCAAAAGTCGTCAACTAATTCCTTCTGAAGATGTCCTAATTGTCCCCTTTTGTTTTGAACACCCTAAATCCTTGTCTATTTTGAGTGTTGGTTTAAAACGTTCGATTAAGTCCAATTGGTTTGATTGAGTTCGGAAATCGAATTTAATCAATTTTTCTCGCAAATGTTTTGCTTCGGATTGAGTTCGACAAAGTTCGATTACGGAACAGTTGGACTGGTTACGTCGGAAATTACAGGGTGGGCAAACTAAGGTTCCTCAGTCTGCTTTGCAAGTCTGTAATGCAGTACGATTGGTCTGGATGAGCAAATCGTTTACAGCAGTTACCACTAACACGCGCCCTCGAATATTTTTTTTTCTGTCTCGTTCAAACCTGAGTTTTCGTGGACGTCAATCAACTGTTTCCATGGTTTTCTCACGTGCTCTGACAGAGAAGGCTCGTCGCTGAATGAAGGGCGGAGAAAAAGTACCAGGATGATTTCGCATGACGACCACGCTTTTAATTTTATTTATTTGATTAAGATGAAGGATTACATTGTCAAAACAACGAGGTCTCTGCGAGCTGAGTGAGTTCGGGCCATAGACAATTTTGTCCATATGATGACGTCATCAAAATGTCGTCCTGGCACAATTCTTGAGAACTTGTACCCGCCCCAAAATTTTGTCCCAGTTTTTCTGTATAGGGCCGTTAGGTCCCTTGAGTCCCAGTTCCCCTGAAAGAGGACAGACGGAGCTTCCATTCAAGGCAATCAGAAATGGCGTCGGTTGAAATGTGCCGAAGAAATGTGCATTCGAAGTCGAACTGTGGCACCTAAATTGAGCTCGGAAAGGCTGACATGCTACGAAGCAGAAGGAAATTTGAGGTAGGTAAGATTTTTTTTAGCCAAAAAAAAAAAATACTGTGGTATTCTCTGATGATTGGGCTTCAAACATATCGAAGCAGAATTCAAGTGCACGGCGGTTTAGTTCAAGTGCACGCCGGTTGAAGTGTGACCCGTAGTATTGCCCTTTACCGTCATTGCTTGTTAAAGAGTACTAGCGTCTGCTATTCTAAAGGTTCTATTTTGCTCTTCTTTTCGGATGGTGGATAGTCGTGTTATATTCGTTTTACACCTTGGTCTTTCCTTTCTATACATGCAGACGAAGAATTACAAGTCGGCTGTTTAGAAAGAATGGCGTCGTTTGAATGTGGCGAAGAAAGCGTCTTTCCAAGTTATTGGTTGTACATGTATCTTGATGACATGCTGTGACACGAATGAAAATTGGAGGTTAGCTAAGATGCTTTTGTGACCAGGGTTACAGACATGACATTGCAATAAGGCTTTAGACTTATTTATTGTACAGTCATAATTATTTAGAATTAAGATACATACATAATCTTTCATACAAGCATTTTCCTTTAAGTCACACTACCACTCCCTGCATCAAAATCACAAGAATTTTATTTCCTGTATTGATAAATTAATTCCTTACAAAAGAAGTGCAGTAAGAAGCACTCTAAACTACTTTGTGGCTACAAGCCTGTTTTGTTATTTAAATAAAAACTCTAAAACCTGCCTCAGCAGGGGCAGATCCAGGATTTTTCTTAGGAGGGGGTGCACCACTATAAACTGACTGATGACGTAAAACATTTTAAAAGCGAATACGAAGAAGAGGGCTTTTGACTAGGAAATAACATAATATGAACTGCTGAGAATACATATCAAACGATACAGCAGATTTTGTATGTCTGTGAAGCGACTGCACAGTGTTAATTAGAAAGCGGCCGCAGGTCATCCCGGGGGGGGGGGTGCGCACCCCCTGCACCCTCCCCCTGGATCCGCCCCTGCTCAGTCACACTCTTTTTAAAAAGAGAAAAATGCAGTGGTGTTCTCCAATACATTTGCATGAAAAACATCAAAACGGAATTCAAGTGCACCTTGTTTTGTTTTTTAGTGTAACATCCTGATAATTTGCTCTTCGGCAACATTGGCTCTTCAAGTGTTTTCTGCTGCTTATCTATTGACTTTCAATTGTAAAGCTCTTATTTTGATCTCCTTTGCAGCTCATGGATGGTCATTTATCGTTTTTAAGGACAGCTTGTCGACTGTGTGGAAAAGTCCTTTCAAGGAAGTCTGATTTCGCAGACAAAAGTTTATTTAAAAATGAGTTATTGAACCAGTTTCAAATAAACATTTAGGAAGACTTGGAAGAAATTCATCCCAATAGTATCTGCGCTGGATGCAAACGATCACTTTATCGAATTCATGGCAATACAGATGTGCATGCCAAAGTGTCGACCTCAAAACGACCTTATTTGTGGACAAGTCACTCTGAAGGAAACTGTCCATGTTATAAGAAAGCCAGAGGGCGTCCTCCAAAAAGTGTTGAAGAAAAGGTTGTGACGAAAGATAACGAAAGTGACACTGAGAGCTGTGAGGAAATTGAAACAGAAGAAGAGAAGAATTCTTGCCAAGAATTCAGTGCACTAATTGAAAACATTCCATTGTTGGACAGAGAGTTGGCCCTTGCATGTGCCACGGAACTTGCTGACCAGTTTAATCTCATTTTTCTGGACAGAGAGAACCTTGAAACATCCATTCGTTGTTTGAACAGTCAAGATAAAATTAATCTGACTTCAAAAATTTTCCAGCTAGAAAAAGAAAATATTAAAAAAGATATTTCATCCTGTAGTCAAACCTACAAAAGTCTGCCTGTGCTCTTGAAAGTTACACCTCATACATGGGTTCACGCCAGAAATTCCATTCTTGCTTCTGCAGTTAATGCACTTGCAAATGAAAAAACTCAACCTTTTCAGAAAGCTGTCAGTGTTGATCAACTTTATTCCCTAGTGCAGCCATCTTTCATTAGCCCCTTGATGTTTGCATCAAATTTACTTGCATACTCAGTCACTTGTAGCAAGCTTGTCCTAAATATCTATGGGAAGTTGCATCCTGCTGGTGGTATCACAACTGCCAGAACGTGGCTGAACAATTTGACCATGGATGTCCCTCAAGTTCCTGGTGGTGATATTCTTGCTGCTATTGACAATGATCAAGTACTTATCAAAAAATGGACTGTCCGAAAGGATAACCAAGCACAGATTAGTGTTCTAACCAGTGTTTGTGTGGCTCCAGTCCATCCAGAGGGAACTTTGCAGTGGGACCAAAGTCTTTCTCCAGGGTAAGTAAAAGTGTACATGGTCACTCCAAGTCTGCTACATGTACTTATTATTTCTGTAATATTTTGTTTTTTATTTGCTTTAATATTTTACCCTTAAATGCGGAAAAAGCAGCAAGCTGTAACAGCTGCACTGATAACTAAGGCAAGGAACTTAATGAATGACCTGGGTTGCCACTGGTCAGGAAATGGTTTGGGAAAAGAAAAATTCACAAAATTTACATGTAACATGGTCCTTACTCTTTAGGGGATGCAGTTTTCTGGTAATAACAGTTTTGTGTTAAAGCTAAGCAAGAGAGAGGGAGTGTACTTTCCACTGATATGTACAACTACCTGCATTATTTGGAAGTTGTAGAAATAAAAATAGTCATGTATTTCCTAAAAATCAGTAATGATTGTTCAGGGTGTAAGCTCAAATGATATTCTTTTGTACCAGGAAATGTCTTGAAAGGTTACATGTACAATGTAGCAACTAATAGTTCTTGTCACAGCAACATGTTCAATGTATACAATTTATATTTGTTTCAGTTCATGGTCTAAAAGAAGTGAACTTTGGAAGAAAAGTGAAGAGGATACGGTAAAGCTTTTGGACATGTGCTCTGCTTCAGAGGACAACAAGGGATTGATTCGCCACGAGGTAAAGGCTTTCAGATGAGCAAACTTATGTAAGATACTTTTGATTCCTACCTTGGAGACGGTTGATCATTTTTGCTTTCTGTATTGGCTAGCAAGCTACCTCAAACACAAAGAAGTTTTTGTTTTAGGTATCTGTAGAGCATGTAGCCAGTTTACTGGAAAACAGATTTTGTGGTCTCAAATCACAAGAAATCTACATTTTAATGTCTCATGAGAAGTGTGACTTGGTTTTCTAACATGCACTGATTTTGAAGGAATTTATTTATACGCTGTCTATCATAAACAAATGCCTTAACACACATGTACACACAATCAGTAGTAATTTATTGGTGTTGGATTTAACTTAACTAATTAAAAGTAATTTGAATTTAATTTGCTTTTGCATTACTGTGCTTAGTGTTTCGTTTAAATACCTTGCTCATGCCACTTTCTCCACCAACTGCAACACATTGTAATAATTTTTGATATTGCTTAAATATTGATAAGACTCTTCTATTTTCTTATGACTTCAGAACAAAAAGATGATCCATGAACTTCTTCATGATTTGCTAATGGAGCAAAATAAAGTCAACGGTGAATGGAAAGATGACATTGACCTGCGTGTAGATGAATTAAAAGCGAATGAAGGAAGACGTGTTTGCCCTGTTTGCCAAACAACAATGGAACGTGTGTGAAGGAACAATAGTTCCTACATCAGAGCAGGGCAGTTGTCATTTGCACTTTTGTTCCATAGAAGTAGCTAATCAAAATATGCATTGATAGATCTACACGACAGGTGAGTGGAATTAAATTGTTTGAATTTGAGGCCCATGTCGATTCGTTTGGCTTTGCAGCCAATATTTATGGGTCGCACTGCAAAAATATAACATGGATCTTCAAGGCCACATGGGTGAAAAGGGGTCTTGAAATAAACTGTCAAATGTTGCCCAAAAATTTTGTATTGTTAAGTGTGACAAACAAAACCAAAAAATTTGAGCATAGCCTTGAAATCGAAAAAAGGCATAAGCCAGCCACGATTAATTATTAGCCCATTTTACTTGTACATTGTAGCAGTACACACATTTTGTAACTAATAGTAATAAACTTTTACATGTAAAATTTGTACATTTACATGTATTGTAAATGTGTGGGGTCTTCTCTGGGATGCATTAGACCACATTTTAGTGCAGTCCAACTTTAAATAAAGGTCTTGTTTAAAGCAACCTGTTTATTCTCTCTTTCCTGTTAATACATGTATTTATAGCATTGACCGTGCTCACTACCCAGGGAAACTCAATCAATTTGTGGAAACCACAGAATCTGTGAGTACGTCTGGTAACATGAGCAAAGGAGAAGATATGGATGCTTGCCTAGAGGAAGTAAATAAGGACTCGAAAGTGTGGCAGCATGGCAAGATGGTTGCTCTTGACTGGCTCCGAATTTTCAGAAATCTTGGAAATTTGAGCAAGGTTTGTTTACCTTTTTTACTTGCATGTGTGTACATATATATCTGTTAGCAGGCACCAGATAAAAAAAATGCCATCTATGTAATCTGGTAGCTGCTAACAGGGGAAGTAGACATGTGGACGTGTGTTTTCATGCCGGATGATAATATTATTTTAACTCTTGTAGGCTGGGACATGACATTTATGTTGTAACTAAAAAATGTTAATTTTATAATCTTAGTCCCTGTTTGCTGGACTTTTCATACACATGTTGCAGATGAAATTGTAGCAAATGGTAGGACCATCTACATGTATTAGGGACACTTTTCTGTTGTAGAATCACTGTGGCATTTACTTTCAGATATTTTACATAAATATTGAAATGTTTATAACAATATCACTATAGGTGAGAAACTGGTTCTTCACCATGGTTGGTTTACAAAACCCAAAAGAGGAAGCCATAGAGTCTAGAAGAAAGTATGACTTTGGAGATGAAGTGCTTGCATGGAGGATAAAGCTTCGAAAAGAAAGGCAAGTTTCTGTACTATTTCAAGTGCATCTCTTTGACCTTTAAATATTGCAGTGTATGATATACCCTCCAAACTTAGACCTAACAATTTTTGCTAACATGATACACGGTAACTGCTATTGCTTTGTATGGGAATAAAGTTGAAGTCATTACCTCAGCTCACAGACTTTTGTCATCTAATTCCCAACTTTCCAAAGTTTGTTTTATATTAGAAACCATAATTATTATTATGGTATGGCAAATTTCCCTGTAATGTATGTTGGCCAAATCCTTCCCTGATTTCCTTCCCTGATGATTATTGTATTTTTAATGGTTTACTACAGGTATCTCGAGAGGAACTGTTCAAAGAAGCTAATTTCCTTGGATGGCCTTGAATTGGATAAGGATCTCCCAAACTATGAAGAAATTTTGCAGAATAACTGGAGAAGACTGTTCAGTGAACATTTCATTGATGGCAAGAAGCGGACAGAGGTGGAGGTACAAAAACGTTATGTAACTGTTCAAGAAAGGGCTGTAGCTGAAGATATAAAGAATGCCACCAAGGATGAAATTCTGAAACGCATTGGTGATAAACTACAGCAGATATTTGATGAAGAGGTAAGAGGACCTCTGTCTAGCAAGCTGGAATATTTTAAGGCCCACCCAAGTAAAGCCAAAAAGGATGCACTGCTTGTATTGTACAATGACATAATTGAAGAGCTTCAGCACCTTGAAGCAGTTGACAAACAATGTATTGTAGAAGATGATGAAGATGGAGAGGTTGACTGATGATAATATTGTATGTAATATGAAGTTGTAAAAATTGTGCTGATCCATAAAACATCCATACCTCCACGGAAGGGATTTTTTAAAATAAGAACCCAAGCCCCTATAGAAATTCAAATTTAACTTCATACATTGTGTGGTTCCTGAAAATGTCCATACCCATCACAAGGATGGTCACTGGAAATTCCAAGGGGGAGGGGGGTCTCAAAAGTAAAATTTTTGAAAGGAAAGTATGAAGCAAAACTGGAAATTCCAGGTAGGGTAGGAGGGTCCGAACCATAAAACCATCCTTGGGGGTATGGCTATTTTCTGGACCCACACATTTCTATAGTATTTTTGGTCTTTGAGGCCCCCAGGAATTTCCAATCCCTTCTGTGGTGGGAATATGGATATTTTCAGTATCTTTTCATTGAGTAGTAAAACAAAATTGTGCTGCTTTTGTCAGATTTTGAGTCGGATATCGACTCTATTACACACTTAAATGAAATTTTGCAAACTGCTGGCAGGACTGTTAGTAGGATCACAGTGGTTTTGTTTTTCTGTGTATGTATATTCTAGATTTTTATCTCAATAATTTATCCATTTCTCTTAAAATGTTTCACTTTGTTAAATTTCCTGTATGCATGCACATACTGTACCAAGGAATGTTTCCCTGCCATTGAGTTGCAATACAAGGCTGCATGAACAGTGATAAATATAATGTGGCCTAGATTTTAATCCAAGCTAAAAGTCACATCAGTAGTAATGTAAATGGGTTTTTTCCTCGAGTTCAGTGTAAGGTTCTCCTGATTACAAATACAAAAATTTATAGGAATGCACGGAGGAGGGGTGGTGGTATAACTGGGGGTACTTGTCAAACCGAAAGCCACAAGACTTATTTTACAACTTTTTAACAAAGAGCCCAGAGCAGTTGGTTATGACAGGAATGTTCCTGCTTATCCAAATAGGTACCTAGCTACTCGCTGAAAAGATATTCTTTTAACTTTCAGCGGTTTGTTTCAAAACTTTCAATAACCACTTACATGTACATCACTTTTATATGTGAGATTCCACCCCTACTCCTTTTATGCAAATATTGGTATACTACAACATCCATAAGTATTTTAATGGACTATTTGCTTTTAATCAATGATTGTTCAATTGCTACAGTAGTTTTTCAAAAAAAAGTCAATTCAATTCAACAGAAACAATAGCACATACTGAGTTGCCTTGTAGAGCTATGTATTTTGACGGTTCATATAGTTTCAATAAACATTAACAAAACATAACGTTCTGATCGCTTTGGGAAATGCCCAAAAGTTACCAGGAACAATAACAATTTAATTAGCTGACGAGGTTCATTGATTGATCATCCATACAGTATCTGCTATCACTCTTCCTCTCCAGCAACGAAGATCTCTACGCTCTCGTCAGAAATAAATAATATTTTACTCTGTTTCTGGACGGTGGGTACGTCATTTTTCTCTTTGTCGGTGAGTTGCGGCATCGGTTTATTCAACAATAATTCCTTAACAGGAGTTGGTATCACAGCGTCAGGACTATCACCATAGTGCAACCTCTTTCTAGAAGGAGGGACGCGAGTCTCACCTCTCGTTGATGAATGCCCTAGAACGCTAGCCAAACGATGATCAATATTGATATGTTCAGGAGTGTCTTCGAGCGGTTCGATTTCAGGGCGATCAGGGTCTGTTGCAGTCTTCGGGGCATCGTATCTGTGCTCGGCTCGGGTGGGCTTAAGTATTCCTTTATTATATGTTTCTAAAAGGCCCAGAGAACCGCCGACAAAACGCTGTCCCTTGTGATCGATTACAATAATTACTTCAGCCTTTGTCATGGTGTGAAGAGCGTGACCCTTCTGAAATAAAGTCGCCTTGCGCCGGTATAGCGCGGAAGACCTCGCCTGGGAGTTACTTATGTAGGCCATTTTCTCTTTCCCCCTTCGCGGTGTATTTCTTTTTAATTCGGCCTTTTGCGAAGTTCCACTGCGAATATAAAGTAAGTAGTTTTAATACAATTGCCATTGTTCGAGTTCAGTGTAAGGTTCTAATGATTACAAGTACAAAAATTTATAGGAATGCACGGAGGAGGGGTGAGGGTATAACTGGGGGTGCTTGCCAAATCGAAAACCACGAGACTTATTTACAACTTTTTAAGAAAGAGACCAGAGCAGTTATGACAGGAATGTTCCTGCTTGTCCAAATAGGTACCTAGCTACCCGCTGAAAAGATATTCTTTTAACTTTCAGCGGTTTCTTTCAAAACATTCAATAAGCATCTACATGTACACGTGCTCGAACCGGAATTAAAGGTTTCAACTGGGCAACAACATGAGCATGATGAAAAAAAATATTACTTACCAAGCTTCGCCTTCAGTACCGTTTACGTCAGGGCTTATCGAATTCATGGTTCCAAAACAGTTTTTGAGATCACTTCAATTTTTAAATATAAGACTGACAAAAATGTCCACGCGCGAAACACTTGCGTAAGAGCAGTGTAATAGGAGTTCTTCACAGCACCACAAATAAACCAACATTGAAACAAGCAGTTATTCCATTGGTAACTAGCATTCTAGAAGTGTAATCTGGACATCTCACCGGAAACGGCAGAGTTGTGTGCCGACCTGGTCAGAGGTCTCAAATCCTCGGAACAAAGTGAGCGCAATCAGGGGCACCCAACGAGAATATAGTTCAAAACCACCTAAACACAGCATTGTTAAACGTATTTTAGTATTTAAATGGTAGATATAGGCATATTTTTATCCCCTGAAAAATTTTCATCTGTTCGGATTTCCTAGCTGAAAGTCTAGTGATCCGAAATTTATAGGGATCAAAACTCACTTTTCTGAAAATTTCAGCAAGAAAAAATCCTCCCGACAATTCTAGGTGACATTTTTAGGGTAAAAATTCGTTAAAAATGGGCAATTATACCAATTTTTAGATGTTCGAAAATCCTAGGAGAGGCAGGCAAACAAGAAATTTTACAACAACTGTGTCGAAAATTCTAGATCTCAAATCGTCTTCCGAACAGATATTTTCCGAAAATTGACGTTGGGTGCCCCTGCGCCATCCTTCAGCATGGCCGCGACAATGGACTTTTTCAGAATTTTTTATCAAAGGCGTTCAAATCAAAGGGTAAGTTTTGCAGCAGTGGTATTTTCTGCGTAAACTAATTGCCTTACCGCACTTCATGTGAAATTCCTTCAGAAAACAAAGCCTTACTTGGCGCTTATATCTCCATGGCTTACGCTGTTTAATTTGGATAATTTTCAGATATCACCATTTCAAGGTTAAAGCACCATCTCGGACACCATTTATCGTTAGAAAGGAAGCTTACAACGAGTATGATCCCTTCGCACTGGCATGTCTTATCCCTGCCGAATTGGAACTAATTCCAGAGCCTTTGCGGAAAATGGCCATTTACAGCAAATCAAAGCGAAAAAGTTACACTTTGGAAGATGTGCGAGGGTCTCAGATCGGCAGAATTCAGTATTTTTTAAACAGGGAGCTATCCTACCTTCGGGAGTGTGGCAAGATATCGCGGATTGAAGGGTAAGTGAATTATCGGTTATCTCCTTTGTCTGAATATTTTTCTGTGTAATAAATTGAAAAGAAGCTATTCAGTTTACTTGTACCGGTGAACAGTTTTGGAATTCGTCGGCCTGAATTTTTTAATCTGCGTTTGTCTCTTCTCCCTAAGGATTGTCAACGGAGAACCAACGGTTTCTGTTCGTCCCAACGCAGCCCAAAAGTTCCAAAGAAATAAACAGGCTGGTGGAGGGGCTTACATCCCGTCTACTATTCACGTTGAAGGTCCACGCGAGCACAAAAAGGCTGTGCTCGACAGAGTCCGCACGTCCTTAGCGGAGTGCGAGAATGGAGAGCTGATGACAATCTATATCGAAAATTAGAACATACAATGATTCATGACGTACAAATCCAGAATTAAATGTTGTTTCTCGTTAAATTATTGTCAATTTTGTGTGTATTTTTTACGGTGATGTTGTCGCCTTGCAATATGGCCGCCGTGCACATTTCCGCGCACAAGGTTTAGGTCGCCCAAGTTCCTCTCGGCCAAATTTCTTTGTTTTGGTTTGCCTCGACCAATCATATTGCAAGAAACCGCGGGTTGTCCAATACACCCGCACCGTAACGGTCCGTACAAGCCATGTGTCGCTCCGTACGGATCGAACGGATCGACAAAAGGGGTACACGCTCTGTAGAGAGTGTTTTACGGTCCGTGAATCGCATCTCATTAGTGGGACTTGAAATATTTTCATGGCAAGAGCGGTCATATACGGTTTGTCGATCCGTACGGATCGAACAGATCGACAAAAGGGGTACACGCTCTGTAAAGAGTGTTTTACGGTCCGTAAATCGCATCTCATTAGTGGGACTTAGAATATTTTCATGGCAAGAGTGGTGATATACGGTTTGACGATCCGTACGGATCGAACGGATCGACAAAGGGGGTATACGGTCTGTAAAGAGTGTTTTACGGTCCGTAAATCGCATCTCATTAGTGGGACTTGAAATATTTTCATGGCAAGAGTGGTGATGTACGGTTTGTCGATCCGTACGGATCGAACGGATCGACAAAAGGGGTACACGCTCTGTAAAGAGTGTTTTACGGTCCGTAAATCGCATCTAATTAGTGGGACTTAAGATATTTTCATGGCAAGAGTGGATATTTAGCGTTTTTCGATCTGTAAGGACGGTACGGACCGACGAAAGGGGTATACGGTTTGTGAGGAGCTCTCTTCGGTCCGTAAAGTGCACGAGGTTCACGTTCGGGATCATTGGGTCCCTATAACTTAGGAGATAAATTATAAGAGAGATATTCAGTACTATGATGCTGTAAACTCGAGGTAGTGTAATCGCAAATATTATGATAATTTTACATTGACTGTTATGTATACTCAGTGTCCAAAGTGCAATATTTTACAATCTCTTGGCTAAAATTCTATCGTAACTAACTGCATTACAGTGTTCACTTTCTTTACTTTTTGCCCTTTTTCAGCACGCGTTTTTTCTTAAGTACCTTTTACGGTGTCTGAGTTGGCGACCCGAAACGAATATTTCAAACCATATCATGGGTTATAACTTACGTGTATTGGTGAAATGTTACTCTTGGTTTGAACTGTATTTTCTTCCTTTTCAAACATTATAGCACAAGACAAATTTGGGAAATATGAATTAAACCAAGGATAAAATTGATCCACAACACAAAATTGAACTGGAACATCTACATGTACTAGATTGTGGGTTAAGTAGCATTTTTAGCAGCAGGTACATCATAGGAAAGGTTAATTGTAAAAAAGTATGTTGTCACTTGTGTTTCGGGTAGGTCAATATTTGGAATTATTTACAACTTTGAGATGTCAGTGATCGTAAACAAGAAAGAAAATTATGATGGTAAGGGCCCGTAGGAGATGAGAGTTTTTTTTGATCCGCCGATTTCACGTTGAAAATGACGTTTTGCTAGCCAGATTGTGCGCAGGAAAATGATGCGTAACAATAATAAGAGAGGATGTGAGAAAAAAATAAAATGTGAATAATAAATGCCCCGATGATATATTAACAATGAGATGTGAAAAAATTATAAAGAAACAGAAAGGTGTGACAAAATTAAATGGTTAAAGTTAGTAAACAGTCGATGCTGATTGGTTGCTACTATCACACATATAGATTAACGCGTGGTCTCAAACAACCATTTTCCCTACTGTTGAATAATACTGAGAAACCATAACTCTACTATTGTGGGAAGATGTCTTAGGTCGACGAATATAGAGAGACCATCAGATACCTGTCAAAGGCAGAAGTTCTACTTTGACGTAGACCACAACAAACTTTTGTATTTAAATGGACTACCGAAACAGTAATCACAGCACCAACAAGACGCAGCAGAAAAACCTAGAAAATCCAAGAAAAATCATAAAAGAAGGAAAAACCCTGCACTGCAGGACACAAAAAAGGCTCTTTTAGGAGCCACCAAAAGAATAAAAGTCTCTAACCAATAAGAGTAATTTTTAAGTAGTATTTGACGACTACATTTCGTCGTGAAAATATGTTCGCATCAACATTCCTATTTCATAAAAG